CCCCCCATAATCCCCCCTCCACCAAACTTTACACTTGGCACAATGTAGTCAGGCAAGTACCGTTCTCCCGGCAACCGTCAAAGCTAGACACGCCCATCGCCAGACAGAGAAGCGTGATTGGTCCCTCCAGAGAACACGCCTCCTCTTCTCTAGAGTCCAGTGGCGGCGTGCGTTACACCGCGGCATCCCACGCTGTGCATTGCACTTGGTGATGTGCGGTTTGGATGCAGCTGCTCGGCCATGGAAACCCATTCCATGACGCTCTCTACGCACTGTTGTTGCGCCAATCTGAAGGCCGCATGGAGTTTGGAGGTCTGTAGCTATTGGCTCTGCAGACAGTTGGCCACTTCTGCGCGCTGTGCGCTTCAGCATGCGCTGACCCCGCCCTGTCATGTGACGTGGCCGACCACTTCCTGGCTGAGTTGCTGTTGTTCCCGGTCACTTCCACTTTGTTATAATCCCAGTAACAGGCGACCGCAGAATATTTAGTAGCCAGGAAATGTCACGGAACACCTGAATCCAATGACTTGGAGGGGGGGCCCAATACTTTTGGCAATATAGTGTACGTCCAGGTAGGTTCAGCGAAGCACATAGACATGGGCCGGTCGTGTAAGACGGGATCACCATTGGTTATGACACAATGGTGGGGGTCGTAGACTTCACATGAAGCTTAGATGAAGAACATTGAGGGCGATCATTCCCCGGTTGGTGGGTATTCATCAGTTGCAAGTGGAACCTTTGCAATCTCTCTAATATATAAGTGGTCCTCCTGGTATACTCATGTTGAGTACGTGTAGGATGGGAGTAGGGGAGAACGGGTGGGGAAGGAGTTGGGTGAATGGAGCCATAAGGGGTAGGATCCTGATTGGTAGGGATTCCCGGTGTGACACAAAGACATCGAGTCACACCGGGGGTAGCAGGAGTAGGGAGATGGGTTGGATCATTCGAGTCTCTTTGAGGGAGTACTCTAGCTCTCTCCAGGGAGTCCCTACTTTGACCCAACGTTATGGAGAATTATTAATGGGCTTTCAGTCAGATGGCCAATGCGGAGGGTTTTCTTTCCCAAAGTAAGGTCTCTCCTCCACCAAACAAGGATCTTGTTCCAGCCACTGTGGGCAAGTAAACAGCCCTCAAGCAAGGCATCGCACAGCCCGCCGATGGACCTCACCACCTTCAAAAAGGTCCTCAGTGGACACCGATAACGCAGGCCCGTATTCTTCATGGCTGGACGGGTCAGGAGAAGGGGGACTACTCTATATAAGGGGGGTCATCTAGATACCACAGCATACCTTCAGAGGTCTAGTGGGGTCCATAGCTGGACGGGTCAGGAGAAGGGGGACTACTCTATATAAGGGGGGTCATCCAGATACCACAGCATACCTTCAGAGGTCTAGTGGAGTCCATGCCTGGACGAGTGAGGAGAAGGGGGACCTACTCAAAATTAGGGGGAGTCATCCAGATACCACAGCTTACCTTCAGAGGTCTAGTGGAGTCCATGCCTGGATGGGTCAGGAAAAGGGGGACCTACTCAATATTAGGGGATCATCCAGATACCACAGCATACCTTCAGAGGTCTAGTGGACTCCATGTTTGGGCGGGTCAGGAAAAGGGGGACCTACTCAATATTAGGGGGGTCCTCCAGATACCACAGCACACCTTCAGAGGTCTAGTGAAGTCCATGCCTGGACGAGTCAGGAGAAGCGGGACCTACTCAATATTAGGGGGGTCATCCAGATACCACAGCACACCTTCAGAGGTCTAGTGGACTCCATGCCTGGAGGGGTCAGGAGAAGGGGGACCTACTCAATATTAGGGGGGCATCCAGATACCATAGCACACCTTCAGAGGACTAATGGAGTCCATGTCTGGACGGGTCAGAAGAAGGGGGACCTACTCAATATTAGGGGGTCATCCAGATACCATAGCACACCTTCAGAGGTCTAGTGGAGTCCATGTATGGACGGGTCAGGAGAAGGGGGACCTACTCAATATTAGGGGGGGTCATCCAGATACCACAGCACACCTTCAGAGGTCTAGTGGGGTCCATGCCTGGACGGGTCAGGAGAAGGGGGACCTACTCAATATTAGAATGGCCATCCAGATACCACAGCACACCTTCAGAGGTCTAGTGGAGTCCATGTCTGGACCGGTCAGGAGAAGGGAGACCTACTCAATATTAGAATAGCCATCCAGATACCACAGCACATCTTCAGAGGTCTAGTGGAGTCCATGTCTGTATGGGTCAGGAGAAGGGGGACCTACTCAATATTAGGGGGGTCATCCAGATACCACAGCACACCTTCAGAGGTCTAGTGGACTCCATGCCTGGAGGGGTCAGGAAAAGGGGGACCTACTCAATATTAGAATGGCCATCCAGATACCACAGCGTACCTTCAGAGGTCTAGTGGACTCCATGCCTGGAGGGGTCAGGAAAAGGGGGACCTACTCAATATTAGAATGGCCATCCAGATACCACAGCGTACCTTCAGAGGTCTAGTGGACTCCATGCCTGGAGGGGTCAGGAAAAGGGGGACCTACTCAATATTAGAATGGCCATCCAGATACCACAGCGTACCTTCAGAGGTCTAGTGGACTCCATGCCTGGAGGGGTCAGGAAAAGGGGGACCTACTCAATATTAGAATGGCCATCCAGATACCACAGCGTACCTTCAGAGGTCTAGTGGACTCCATGTCTGGGCGGGTCCGGAGAAGGGGACCTACTCAATATTAGGGGGGTCATCCAGATACCACAGCACACCTTCAGAGGTCTAGTGGACTCCATGCCTGGAGGGGTCAGGAAAAGGGGGACCTACTCAATATTAGGGAGGTCATCCAGATACCACAGCGTACCTTCAGAGGACTAGTGGAGTCCATGTCTGGATGGGTCAGA